TCTTTGTGGCTTCTCCAATCCTTTCATCATTTGTAAGGATTCGGTAAGATCTTCAAGTCGTTGTGAGAATCTTGCAAATGCTTGGATTTGGGCTTTTATAAGTCTTTCATCGCTCACGTTGGTCTTGTCTCTTTCTTCTTGTGAGTCTTGAGACTTTCCTCTTGTTGTCATTACTACACAAGCATAGGGTTARAAATAATAAAGAAAAATTCTCACTCATTTCCTTACTTAATCTCTTGCTTTCTCTCCTTTGGTAGGGTGGATGTTGGTATGGATACCCTCTTGGAGATGCTCACTTGGTTGCTTGTGGCGAATAAGCTCTTGAACAAGCAAGCACAAGCTTACAAGTAACTATGCAAAAATTTCTTTTTTTATTTTTATTTTTACTAAGGGTCAATGATATAGATGATACCAAAGACAAGAAACAAATGGTAGGAAAGAAATACCAAATGATACTACAAAGATGAATGAAACAACCAATCAATATAAACAAAGAAAGACAAAGGTGCAAACATTGAGCCTAATGTTCTTGGTACTAAAGACTTGACAACAATGTACAACTTAAAGTCAAAGCACAATAAAGAAAGAACTATGCAATAAAAATCAATGAAAACAAAAATAACTTTAACAGATGTACAATATCTTACTCATAGTGCAAACACACAAAAAAATTTCTTACCACAAAACAGTGAACTTTGCGGCAAGAGGGGTAACTTTAGGTGAGGGGTGTGTGCTGTATACGGCTCGGAATTGGCTAAAAACAGTGACAAAATAAAGTACAAGTGGTGTAATTAACATGTAAGGGCTGGCAAATGGTTTTGAATTTGTTGGAGGGGGGCTGCTCTCTCAAAAAGAATTCTGCGGCTCTACTAAGGGCATCTCTCTGGTAGCCCAGTGGGCTAGGCGGCTGTCCTCCCTCTTTTGGGCTATTCTAAGTTGACAAAATAATCGACAAATATTTTTAGTTTAAAATTAAACCAATAAAGGGACTACTTGCAAAAAATAATTTGATTTGGACCCGATTTGACTGCCCAAAGAAATTCTCCAAAATCGTTCAGCTCCAAATATGGAAAGTTTTATGCCTGAACATCTTCTTTTCAAATGCCGATAACTTTTGCTGCAGACCATGGATGATTATGATCTTTATGTCCCTGAAAATTTCTTTCAAAGACCTTCAATTTGGCATCTGATTTTACTATAAATAACAAAAAGATCAGAGAGATATAAATCGTCGAAGTTGGGACTRTATTCTCTCGGCGGCTGTAGGATTTTTCCAGAAACAGTGCTCACTAAAAATTCGATAACTTCTAGACCACAGATCCAAAATTATCGATTTCTCTCTCTGAAAAGCTAAATTAGAGGTATCAATTTCATTCAATTTTAACGTTGGAACAAAAAGTTATGAATTTTTATAGTTTGCTCTCGAATTTCTGCTCTCTGTAGGTTTCTCACAATTTCTCGGGTTTGAAGAAAAATTGATAACTTCGGCTTCGGAGCTCGGATTAAAGTGAAATTTGGTTTGTTGGAAAGCTTTTGAAGTGCTAAACACAAACAAACAAGATTTATACACTTTAAAGAAATTTTCGAAATAAAAAATTATTATGTAAGAATGATAGATCAAAAGGCATGCAAAAGACAAGAATAAGGGATGATATTTTTTTTGTATGATTTTCGAATGAGGGAAAAGTAAAAACAAGACAAGAATCTAAATGCAAGAAAATAACATATATCCCGATCTAGAGCCTCAACTCTTATACCAAATGATTATGCGACAACTCAAGTATATTAGATTACTCGAGCCACAAGCCACTTGAACCCAATCGTATAGATGGTTTCAATTCGAAAGGCTAAGAGTTTGATGGATTACCTTTGCAGTCATTACTTGAGTAGACAGAATACTCATTATGCTCGAGGTCGGAAACACTCAATGACTCAAGTTATTAATTCAATCAAAATTCAAAAGTCGTGTAATATAGGGGTGGAAGCCTATAACTCATGACCTTTTGGTAAGAGATAGGTGCCATAACCATTTGAGCTATTCTCGGTTTGGCCTTCTAAGTATAAATTAAACCTTTTCTTTCATCATTTATTACAAAAGAATAAGAGATAGAAGAAATACAACGTATAATGACGTTATGTGTTGAAATTAGAGACAATTATTGCATTTTTTTTCTTTTTTTTCTTTTCTATTATTGAGAAAATACCAAACTTTCATGGAAGAATGAAATATAGAGACAAGAATTGTTATTTTAAGAAAGTCGCCTATAATGCACACAATTTACCCACATCACCTACGTCGCACTCGATTTACCCACATAACTCACTTACAACGTAGCAATTTACAAACGATATGCACATTGTATCTCTGGTAGCGATCTACACTACTGATCGAGCACCAATTTTAAATATTTGTTTGTTTACCCAATAATTTTTTTTTTATTTAATCTAAATATTTTTTATTGCTTAAAAAACAACTCTAGTTTTAGAATTTGTCATTTAAATTATATTATTCTTAAGATTTCCTGGATTGTCACTTGCAATTTTTTATCTTTTTTTAGTAGAACAAATATGGGGATCGGGAATTAAACCTCCAATATCTAGAGGAGAACAACATGTCTTATTTGCTGAGCTATATTCCTATTCGCACAAATTTTTATTAATTATAATTGGTTGGTAGTCAATTTCTACATTTCCAATTGCATCTTATTTCTTAACTACCACAAATCGTTTAAAGAAAAATATTTCATTTATGATTCAATCATAGGGAGGATGGTTGTTATAAAAACTTAAAAAAGAGAATTACTCGTCTGCTTCATTCCAATTGATTTCCTTCTTATGTGATCTTTCTTGTTATCAGATTTTTTATTTTGAGAACCTTTATTAGATTTTGTGATTCAAATAATGAAAATTTTAAAACAACATTTTTATAGTAACAATGTTTTCAAAAACTTTTAAATATGATTACATTAAAAAAAGATGAAAAGATAAAAACGTTGATAAATATACTATTTTATGTTATAAATTCATTTTATTTTTATTAAAATTACAACAAGTAAAATATAATCTATTATAAGTTATATAATATTGTAAAATCATAATTTTATCAAATTTATAACATATATGTTAATAAATTAAATAATAAGGTTTTAAATTGTGATAACTACTAGTTTATATATATATATATTTTATTTTATTGTTACACAACTTGAACAATTTTTTTTTTAACAATAAACCATTTTTAAAATTGATATTCAATTTTTAAATCATCTACCAAACACATTCAAAAAAAATGTAACTATGTTTTTTTTCTCTTTTTCTTTTTTCTTTTTACATCAAAAAGCCAAAGAGGGGTACAAGTGAGCCTATAAGCCGAAATTTCTTCATTCATTGCTTTTGTCGCTAGAGCGTGAGTCGCACGATTTGATCTCTTTGACAAGAAGAAGAGCTTCCTCAACTGATCATTTGATTTTCGTAAGGTCTAAATCTTGTCCCTTTAGAAGATCTATTATTGCTCGGAGGGAATTAGATTCTATATGAACGGGAAATGATTTTCCATGATGATAGCTTGTAATCTTTTACAAATTGCTTTCATTTCTACCACTTTTATCCCTAGGATTTTTGATATTGTTTTTATCTCGAATGTTCATCGTTCTAAATTTCGCTCAACATGTCGAGCAACATGTCGACATGTTGAGGGGCTCGACGTCGACACGACGGGGAAAATCGTTTTCTCCCTCGTCGTCGACCTTCTTCTTCTTTATTTATTTATTTTTTTAACTTATAATCTAGAAACTGATTTTTTTTAAATAATTTGAAAAGATAACATTTCAGTTAAATAATTTGAAAAGAACGAAAAAATGAAATTGGTTTGTTTGGGTGAGTTAATCAAGGAATTGGTGTTTYTTTTTTCTTTTTTACTAAAGTTGGTTTCCACCACAACCAGATGATTATGCAGACTTTTACCTTTATTTTTCATTTTGTATTTTTCTTGCTACTTTATTTTGCTGCTCCTTACAAATAATTTTATATGTTTACTCATTTTTTATTGAATGCAAAAAAAAAAAAAAAAAGTTTGATTTGTTCATCTCTTATAGAAAATACTAAGAATTGGCAAACATGCTTAAAAAAAATAATTGAACCGAACGGAGCTTGCCCATTCAAATTTGGGATTGGCAAATTTGGGATTTTCTATGTTTATTTGAATGAAAAGAAAACATCATCTTTTATATATATATATATATTAATTAAGTTATATTACCATCATTTGTACCTAACAAAGATATTTCACTCCATAATAAAAACTATATTAGATTATAAATTATCAATAAAACATAATCAAAGCAACAACTAGATTAATTTAGAAATTATCAATAAATCATAATCAAAGTAACAATAACTTTAATTTATTAATTTAAATAATTTTAATATATGTATACATGATTCTGTTCCAACGTTTTTATCACAACGACATTTCATAAGTATATTACTTATATATTTCAATATGATAGTTAAAAGTGATAAATTATAGACTAATTAAACTCCTATTTACTAATTCAAAAAATTTACATCAATATCCATAATTTTCATGATTTCTCCTAAAATATTTGTCTACATGACATGCCCGGGAAATTGGGACTTCGACATTTTCATCGACATTTTCTAATCTGTTTACAAATTTCTCTTCTTTACTTCCTAATCTCAATTTATTTGAAGAAATTTTCATTATTTATGAAAATTTAAAAAAATCCATAAAGAAAACCTCTGCTATAAATCATGAAGATTTATTTTTGTTTGATAATTTTTATGTATCCATGAAAAAAAAAAATCCAAAAGCCACTGTTCCTTCTCAAAATTGAATTTTGGTTTTTCAAAATGATTTCATGAATTCAAATTTTTTTTTTTTAAGTCCGTGTATCATATTGTAATGTAAATTGTAAACACTCCTAAACTTCAAAGCTATATTTCCAAGAAAACAGAGGCCTAAAAAAGCTAAAACGAGAGAAAACAACACAACACAACCAAATGAAATTATTTCATGTAAAACTAACATAAACAATACAACTAAATATACAATTTTCAATCAACTCAACTAAGATTTCATTTCCAAATCAATTTACATAACAATTAATTAAGTTACCTTCAACAAGTTCTGAGTTCTTGACAATCTTCAGCTCCAGATGAAATCATCATCTTCATCTTCATCTTCTTCCTCCACAATTCCTTTCCCTTCATTAATTAAAGCCAAGCTCTCAACAAATATATCCAGAAAGAAAGAATCTGCAGCCCCACGAATCCCAAGGCCCTTCACAGTTTGGTTCTCTGGTTTGTATGAAACCAGCTCCCCATTTCTAGATGTCATTAGCATCTCCCCATTTTCCCTACACCCCAGAGCCATTCCCAATCCCTGAGATGGATCAACACTCAGAATTCTTGTCCAAGATTCATGAACATCATATTTTCTCAGCATCCAAACAGAAGAAACGTATCGATTCCCAAAAGGATACCACCCACATTGAAGAACAGAGAGTTCCCCTCCAAGAACTGCAACTTTCAAATTCTGAGGAAACTCATTCACCAGACAATCTGGAAGAGGAATTGTGCTGAAAAATTCACCATCCATGTGAAATCTCAGAATTATGCAGCGAAACCCCCTGTGGCTTCGAGTGAACGCAATCCAATGGACAGCTTCGTTCATAAAAATCTGTGTCCATTGCGATTTAAGGATTTCGTAACGAGGGGCTGGATGGCTAATTTGTCGCCAAGAACCAGTGCTGAGCTGATACAATTCAACTTTAGGAGGAAGATCATAATCGTACATGGACTCACCTTCGAGATACACCAATCTTACCAATTTGAAGTCGTTTGCGCGAGAATCGAAGCCAAATCCGAGGGCGTACTTGTAGGGCGTGGCGTAAAGGGCGAAGATATCCCTGGGGCAAGGAACAGCGACGAATCGGTGAATCGATGGATTCCACAAGAAAATATTCGGACCTACCAAACACAACAATCCGTTGCAAAACCCTACGAGCTTGAAATTCTCGTTCCAATTCACATAAGGAAACTTCAATTCCTTGCAAATCCCCAAGGTTTCGGTGTCGAAATGTAGCGAGTAGCGCTCGCCTTTCTTGCTGCCGGTGCCGTAGCACCGCCGGAGGAGGAGGAGGCGATCGCCGCCGCGGCTGCTATTGGATTGATTGAGGTGGGAGAGGACAAAGGCCGGATCGGAGATAAGCGAACGCCATGATTTGGAGACGCATGTGCAGAGTATGAGGGTTTTGGAAGGAAGTTTCAAGAAGATGTAGAACAATACCTCCTGCGGAAGATAATCTAACATCTGATGGAGATTCCGATTGAAGAATTCCAGCGAGAAGTTCCAGAAGAGAGCAGAATCTCTCGGATTTTCTCCCGAAAAGTGGCTGAAATTTCGAGAGCTTGGAGAAGAAGGAAGAACAGAAATAGTCGGCGGCAAGAGAGAGAGAGAGATAATGAAAATTTTCCAGCTGGTTTTGTGATTTTTATTTTTATTTTGATTTTTCGTCGTACGAAAGATACAGCAATCGATTGCTTTTCTATCTTCAACAACTTTTTTCCTCTTGTTAATAAAAATTCATGAAAAATACATCAATCTTTTACCCGGGTCAAAAATAACTGTATTTGGTTGTATATATATTCGAGATTAAGAGACCAAGATGTCTGAAAATAAATTTTAYATATATGTATTTTATGTGATTACTTAGAAAATATAATTTTATGTKATTGTATACATTGATTAATAAAAAATAAAAAATATAAGTTAAATTACTTTATATTAGCATTCTAAATTTTAAATTAACAATTTAGCTATATTTACATATTTAGAAAAATGATATAGGTGTATAAAGCATTAAAATCAATCAAAATTAATTCAAAGTACATTAATTTATCTTTATTAAGTTAAAATTTTTAATTTAAGTTTCACTCTTAATAAATATATTATAAATAATATATCTAAATTTATGTGGTTGATTTTTTTAGCAATCAATTTTAATAATTATCATTCTAGGTGTTTAACAAAATTAATCATTTTCATCTCATTAATTGCATTAACTAATTATATTTTTTATTAAAAAAATTAAGTATACACTTTAATAAATTAATTTATTACAATAGAATAATTAACTTAATACATTATTGGTAAAATTTTAATTTTGTTTTATTAATTATAAATTTAATTTAAATATTTTAACTAATTTGAATAAAATAAATAAATAATTAAGTTTAAAAAATAATTTATTTAAAAGAAGAGAGATAATAGTTTGCCACAAAATCCATGACAAACCCATGAAACTGGGAGGAAGGAAAAGAAAGCCATTGTCCATAGGAATAAGAGMTTTCAAGAAAAAGTTTTCGAATGTGTGTATCAAACAAGGGCTTTTACTTGTCCATGTCAATTACGAYCCAAAAAACTCCCTAACCAAACGGCCCCTTAAATATTTGAAAAAAAGAGAAAAATATAAAAATATATAATCTTTTAAAAATAATGAACTAAATAAGTCGTGGCGGGTAAAAAATTAAGGGCCCGTTTTATAAACATTTTAGTTTTTGGTTTTTGGTTTTTGTCGTTTTTAGTTTTTGGTTTTTAGTTTTCTGTTTTTAAAAAACAAAATCATATATATTTGCGAACAATTTTTTGTTTTTTGTTTTTAAAAAACAAAAAACTAAAACATGTTTGGTAACAATTTTTAACTTTTTGTTTTTAAAAAGTTAGAAAATTGAAAATACATAATAAAAAATTTTATGTAGGGTAGAAATGACAATAGTGTGGGTGTGAGTGAGGATGCTCTCCCCCATTCTTGTGCTCTGTGAAGATTTTTAGTCTTTATCTCCACCTCGTTCTTGTGTCGAGAGATGTTATCGAGAAAAATTATCGGTTTTATAATTGTTTTTAATTATTTTTAGAATTTAAGTATAAAAAAGTGTAATAAATATATATTAATTATTTAAAAAAATGGAATCGGGGACGGGGTCAGGAAGCATTTCCTATTTTTGGGACTCGACCCTGCGGAAATTTTTTTAAAAATACAAGTTTAGAGAGATGTAAATAAACTTTTGAAAGATAAATTTTAGAGAGATAAATAAAAATATTTAGAAAAAACAATGAGAGAAAAGTTAAAGACAAAAAGAGAAAATTTTTGGAGAAAAAAATAAAGTCGAGAGGAATGATATGTTAAAAGAAAAAAAAAAGAAATTATAAAGAAATAGAAAAACAGAGTGGAAACAAGTTTAGAGATAAAAACCAGATTCAAAATATAATTTTTATAAAAAATAAGTAAATACAAAGATAAATAAAAAGTTACAGTGAAAGAAAATTGAACGAGAAAATAAAATATAATTTTTAGAGGAAAAAATAGATTACGTAGAGAAAGAAAAGTTATAAAATATAAAATTTTAGAAAGAAAAAAGTTAGAAGAAATATTAAATTTTTAGAGAGAAATGATACTGGTCTGTTAGAAAAAAAAGACAAAAATACAAAAAAATTTGGAGAGAGACAAATAACCATAATTATTCAAAATATGAAAATCTTAGAGAGAAAAAGATAAAGTTTGTGGAGAGAAATTTAGAAATAAAAAAATTAGAGAAAAATTTTTTTTAGAGATAAATATGAGAAAGAAAAAAATTCAAAATATAAAAGTTTTAGAGAGAGAAAAATAAAGTTTGTATTAAGAAATTTAGAAATAAAAAATTAGAATGAAAAATAAATTTTTTAGAGATAAATATGAGAAAGAAAAAAAAGTTGAGTATTAGAAAAAAAATTTTGGTAAAACAAAAACCTATTTTTGAAAACTAATTTTTTTTAATTTACATAGAATTTCAAAATGGTTTTTGAAAAACAAAATAGAGAAAATTGAATTGGTTATCAAACAACCCTCTTTTTTAAAAATTAGAAATAAAATTATTTTTCATAATTCGTCAAAAATAAAATATATTATGGGTTTTCATTTTATTTTCATACCTAATATTCTTTTTAATACGTGTGCATACCTAATATTTCAGATTTATTCTATTTTGATAACTTATTTTAAATCTTAATTTCATTTCTTTTACCTAGTTGTTAGGAAAGAAAAAAAAGAAAAAAGCATTCAAATTTTACCCCTCAAATTTTATCCTAAACTTTCAAACGTTACAATTTTTATCTTCTGTTTGACTTTCGTTCCATTTGCCTACCAATTTCAAAAATAAACGAAGGAATAAATGAAAGTTATCACGCATCAATGCCACTGACCAAGATTTGGTAGATGCTAAAAATTTATTGTCAATGTCTAATAAATTATAAGAAGAGAAAACCATAGGAATATTTTTAAACTAATAATATTAGTATTGTGTTTGACAAGGTAACCATGAAGTTACATGCGTGATGACAAATATGAATTGAGAATTAAAGAGTCCTAGAGCTGATTAAACAAACATGTAGGCAATATTTACAAAGGTATTAGATGAAAGAAATTCCAATGACAAGGCCAAAAATGCCATGATAGAAAAAAATAAAAATCTTAGTGTAATTTAACTYGGTGAGGAACCTATTTTCGATTGAATAATCGTGAATGTGAATTTGAATTTTCATCGTACTAAAAAAAGTTGAGTGATTAATGAAAAAGATAAAAGCACGTTTTAAACCAAATGAGGTTTGTAGTGATTCCAAACGATGAATGAGAAGAAAAAAAGGAGAAGAAAGAAAAAAATGAAAGTTATCATCCAAGATTTAATTGTCGATATCGATGGAAACATTGAGATCTCAATTTCATAGAAATGTCAATGTCAATAAATTTTGGAAACATTATAAAAATAAAAATTCATAAAAATGATTTAAGTTAACAAATTAGTCTTTCAATTTTTCTAAATGGGTTAAAAATGATTAATATTAATTAATATTATATCTATATTAATGATATTTTGTTGATATTTTTATATTTTATCCTTTTTTGGTAATACTATGGAAATGTCGATTTACCTTTTATATTTGTTAGAGTATATATTAGTATATTTTATATTCTTGTATTAATATTAATTTGTCATTTACCTTCTCCTTATAGGATTAAGTCAACTTTGTATATTTGTCTATATATATATAGACTTTAATAATGAGAATACATTACATTTGGATTCTCTCCAATCTTAGTCTCTACATGGTATCAGAGCTCTAGGTTTTGTGCCTATTAGAGTTTTGATGCCCATTAGGGTTTTGTGCCCATTAGGGTTTTGATGCCCATTAGGGTTTTGTGCCCATTAGGGTTTTGTCC